CTGGAAAGTAACCACAGTATCAGCACTTCTATATAATTTTTTTGATAAAAGAGTTAGCACAAAGGATCACATATAAAGTGTAATGGACTTAAAATAAGACCCAAAACTCGAGCGCTTTTGAATAGTTAACCATTCTTCTTGTTCTCCTGAAGAAGAATAGTCAACTATTCGAAAGCGCTTGAGTATTGGGTCTTATTTTAAGTCCATTACACTTTATATGTGATCCTTTGTGCTAACTCTTTTATCAAAAAAATTATATAGAAGTGCTGATACTGTGGTTACTTTCCAGTGATATGCATTAAAGTAAAAACCACTCCATGTGTCTTTTTCATGTACAAGTAACACCTGCATAGCCAGAGTATGAAAGGCAAAGCAAGAAAATTTTTTACTTAGATGTGTTCTATATTCATTTGAAATATTAGGTTATATATCTGATGAACAAAGTGTTATTATATAAAACTGCTTTTATGATATAAAATTTTTTTCTCATAAATGTTTAAAGCTTCATTACATGTGCATCAGTTAACAAAGAAAAATTACATATTTCTTCCTCACAAAGGAAACATATTTTACTACATCTTGAGATAAAAAGAAATCTCATGAGATATTAGTTCCTAATATTCAGAAAGCCAATTTTGAAGCCATAATAAAAGATCTATCATTATTAAATTGAGACAATTAATTAAATGGAAATGAGGGACAGCTTTGGGAACATTTTTAAACAAACTGCCTTAAATTCAAGATATTCATTTTCTTGGAAAAAAAAAAGAACAGAGAGAGAAAGATGATAACAGAAATTAAACCCAACTGATTCACTAAAGACATAAGGTTAAAATATAGGATAAATGCCATAAGTTTAAGAAGTTTATGTTGACAAAAAAGGAAAGCTAGGAATTTGATTACAAAGAAACAATGAAATTTAAATGTGCTTATGAGAAACAACTGACTGGTAGTATTAAAACTAATGGCAAGAATTTTTAAGTATGTTAAAGATAAGCAAAATGCTAAAATAGAAATTGGGCTGTTAAGAGATGCTGATGACAATGTTTATGTTGAAGACTATAAGACAGATGAGCATTTAACTGTTCTCTTCTGTTTTCACAAGATATATTATTAGTAATATTCCTGTCCCTCAGTTCATTCTATAGGAAATAATAGAATTGATTTGAATCAGGTAGATTTCAATCCATTGATACCAAGTAAAAAAAATTTAAATTAAATATCAATTTAGCCTGCTACTTTTATTAAACTGTAGCATTCATACATGTAACCAGTGTCCAATTTGTACATATCCATGATATATTTATATTCAATGAACAGAATAATATTTGTATTTTATTATGCACTTTTTGGAAGAAACCTTAGTAACAAGGCCAGTAAAAAAAAAAAAAGTAACATTTTTTAATTTAGACCT